CCCGTAATAGCCTGAAAATTATTCTTTAAAAAATCAACGGCTCTTTAAAAAATCCACGCCTATGTGAGAGTCTGAAAAATTATTCTTTAAAAAATTCACGCCTATGTGAGAGTCTGAAAAATTATTCTTTAAAAAATCCACGCCTATGTGAGAGTCTGAAAAATTATTCTTTAAAAAATCTACGCCCCCGTAATAGCCTGAAAATTATTCTTTAAAAAATCAACGGCTCTGTAAAAGCTTGAAAAACTATTCTTTAAAAAATCCCGCCTGTATCATTGGTGTCCAGTTGTTATCACCACGACGAGAAATCGACATGGGCTTTAATGTAGGAAACATCTGTGTTGGTGAAAAATGCACCCTGACTACTTATTTTTCCCCTTCATTGAACAAAAATTCCTCCTCTCCACTTCATAGTTATCACAAGGAAATTGGTTTAATTGTTTTAATATTTTAATTTATAAGTACCCTCACTACTTGCTATTTTCCCTACCCCTTTCATTGTCATTAAAACCACACCATACTCTTGGGTATGAGTACCCTGCCACTCTTTTTCAATTTGAGTATCGTGGTTTTTTTGTTTCATAAGTTAATGTTTTCGTTTTTCATTCCACACTTCAATACACACGAACAAACACGCACACACACTCATGTAATTCTGAAAATCTTTTTAGTAAATTTTCGGGAAAATGGGGAAGAAAAACAATAACAAAAAACTTCAGCATTCACAAGTCACAACACATCGCTGAAATAAAATGTGACAGCAAGGATCATGACAGGGTTGGCAGACAAAATGAGCAAAAGTGTTAATATTGCAATTCAAATTGAATCTGAAAAGTATTTTGCTGTAAGAATGTGTGCGTGTGTGCATAAATTGCTTAAATACCCACATTGAAATGCTAATAACAATTATGGGTAAAACGATAGAATTATGGAACAATGGGGTGGTGCGTTCACTGACATTTTGCCAATTGCGTCCCTCACCCTAGCGCGTATTAACTCAAGTAGAAAAAAAAACAATATTACCAAAACGACCATGAACGAGTTTTAAGAAGTAATAACAAAAATTGAATTTCGTGTTGGTTGCAACACAACTGCACGGCATGCCACATAGTTGGGTGTTATGAATACTAACGAGTTAAATGCCAGGTTTTTGTTTTTTTCTTGCGAAGTGATTTGATTAATATAATTATTTTTTGGGGTCATAATCGTTAGGAAAACAACTTGTTTTTTTGAACGATTTAACGATCGACGGGTTCTGTAACCAATGCATTTCGAATTAATTTGCACATATCTTCTTCTGCAAAAACATAGAATTTATGAAACTGAAAAGATTTTTCAATCGGGATATATATATATATATGAGTTTGGACCGTAAAAAACGTACTCCAGGCAAGGTTTAGTTGCAATCGGGTGAGACCCTTAAAAACTATTCTTTAAAAAATATAGGACTCTGTTAAATATTATATTTAAAATCCACGCCTCTTTGAAGGAGACCCTGAAAAATATTATTCCTTATAAAATCCACGCCTCTTTGAAGGAGACCCTGAAAAAATATTCTTTTTAAAATCCACTTCTCTTTGAAGGGGACCCTGAAAAATTATTCTTTTTTAAATCCACGCCTGTTTGAAGGAGACCCTGAAAAATCATTCCTTAGAAAAACACGCCCCTTTGAAGGAGACCCTAAAAAAGTATTCTTTTTAAAATCCACGATTCTGTAAAAAAATAATCTTTTTAAAATCCACGACTCTGTAAAAAAATAATCTTTTTAAAATCCACGACTCTGTGAAGGAGACCCTAAAAATTATTCTTTTTAAAATCCACGCCTCTTTGAAGGAGACTCTAAAAATTTATTCTTTAAAAAATCCACGCCTGTATGAGATCCTCAAAAATTATTTTTATTATATATTTAGTATATTTTATTCTTAGTAAATTTTTAGGATGGCAAATATACGCTTCAATGTGTTGTAATTAAAAATACTTATACGACACCATGGATGGGAACAAACAAATTTGAGTTTTCTTTATAAAAATATAACGCAAGCAAGTCTTTAGCTCTCTATTTATTTGTACATCTAACCTTAAACGGGTCTGCTCTCTTCTATTTTGAAATTCAAAGAACGTTTCATAGGAAGTACACGTAATTTAGGGTTGTAAAATAATCATACGCTCCCACGATTTGCAATTAATAACAATTATACGACAACATTTACCCACAATTTACAAATGCTCCATAGTACGGACTATGAGATTTCGCGTTCACCCACTCTCGGTTAAGGCGGGTGTGAGCGGCATAATAATGAAAGAAAATAGTTATTCGCCCTTGTGACATTAAAATAATTTATTGAAAAAAACAAGAAGCTTTTTTGTCCGCTAAAACCTGAAAATATTTTCAAATAAACACATCGGATGGAAATGCGACTATAAATATCGATATGCCAAAACCATTCAAAACGTCATTAAATTCGCAGAGTCTACCCTCTACCACATCTAAAATATCTATACTCGTTCAGGACTTTAGAGATAGAAATGGGTTATGACGTGAAAATTGTGTGATAGATTTAACACCCAACCAATTCGAATGAATTGTTACCCAATGATAAATCGAAATTCAAAATTATAACTAATTTTTCCAAAGAATTCAGGAAAAAAACTTGATGATCAGGATTTAAAGAGGAAGTACATGCGATTTAATCGAGTAGCCCAGGAGTTAAACACTATATGTAAATATTTAACGAAAAGAATACCCTTCCAGACAGCAGGTCTACTAAAGTAATAGGTAAATATAATTAAGGACAAGGATTACGATTAAGGACGAAAAATAAATTCGGAACTGATGCAGGTTACTCGAATGTGTGAAATCGTTATTAAGGGGATGACATCAAGCGGGATTATCTGGAATTCTAGCTTCCAATCATCGCCAAGAACTCTAAAATGTATGATTTGGCATAGAAGGAAATCTACAATGAAGTCGATTGTGTGCTTAGTCGAAGTTACGATGCAAGACATGATTGGCCTGGTATGTCTAAACAAGTAACGCTAATTGTAATGGAGTCTTTAAAGGCATAGTATAGGGAGCTCATTTTATTGCTTCCCCAAAATGAAGATGTGGAGTTTTCTGAAGATGTATTCTTCAAATTAAATAGAAGTCTTCAAATATATTTCGATAGAAGTATTGAGCTGCATGAAATAGTAGAAATTTTGCAATAGTTTGTGCCCTCACTGTGGAGGAAATTCATTTACAAAAGGACAGTATGGTGACAGTCCTCCGGTGCTGGTCAGTAAAAGTTCAGCGGTAAGAAGACAACTGGAGAATGGTTTGAAAATCTGTGAGTTAGAACCAGAAGTCTATGAAAAGTAGAAACCAAATAAACCTTGCAGTTTAGCAAGGCAGAAAATATGGGAAACGGATAAGAACAATATGAATAAAACCCCAATGTGCCAATTTAAGCATTCAAATATCTTAAAATATCGAAAATCGGGAGCAGGCGTTATATGCCCAAATGTGGACCATATAGTCCATCTTCGAACTTGACCTGCCTGCAGCCAAAAGACAACTCTATGCAGGATTTTGGCGATCGGCCTCAATTAAATTTAGAGGCTAGAGTGATTACAACAGACATATGTAAATCGCTATAAATTTTTACGCAGATCAAGAATTTATAGGGTCGGAAAAACCACCCTCATAGGGTAGAGGGTATAAAAATGTATTATATTTGTTTTATTTACGTTTACCTTAGAATTGCATGTCGGATGGGGTCTGACCAAAAAAGACCCCTATTGTTTTTGGTAATGATACGTTAATATTTATGGGATGAAATGGACCAAAAACTTTATTTTTTATTAATTTCTCGTTCGAGATGAGCTACATGATCGGAGTTGCAATGAAAAGGAAAGCCAGAGAGATATTACATTCCCACCACTATGCAACGCGTTTCGCCGTTGGTTAAGCGGCTCATCAGGCATATTGGGCAATGTGGCTTACAAATGTCTTTACTTGATTAGTTGTATTTATGTCGACTATAGCTGCGAAATTGCATCTACGAATTAAATTCAACCGTGTCAATGTTCGGACATTTGACATCAGACCCGAACATTCCTTTTCAGAGCAGATTTTTCTTGTAGTGACGGACTTTTTTTTCCATACAGACTACAATGTTTTTCTTCAATGGTATGCAACTGCACATTGTGCAACCTTAGGAAGATAAGGAGGTGACTTTGAACGCTAAGGCGCCGGACATCAACTTTATTTTTGTCTGTTTTTCTGATCGCTCTAGAACCACAATTATGACTCAAACATCACAGAGAGAGGGGTCTGACCATAGACTGACTGCGTGACTTTTCATGAATATTGTCCCATATATAGCATGTCACATGTACCCAGACTTGTGTGTAAAATATTACAAAATGTGTATTCTGGTGCGTATATATTTCCTCCTGTTTAAAGGTGTCTATGTGTTCCGATATTGTTTAAAATTACTCTTGCCAAACTACAGGGCGGAAATGTTTCCCTGATCGCTTTGAAATTTTATATGAAGTTAGGTTAGTGGAGCTGTTGACTTATAATCGGTCAAGAGGCTGTAAATATCGTGATATATTGTCCAGGCTCAGAATACAGATAAGCAGAAAGTTACTGCTCGGCTCACTGGTTTTTATTCCAACTAAGCAGATGATTGGTCTTTTGTAGACTGTCTTAGGTGATGGGTCTGCCATCTATCGTTGACTAGAAACATTGACTACATGAAGTTTATGAACTGGCTGGTGTCTTTGTTTAATTTGTAATATTAGAAAACAACATTAACAGAATTTTTCTTCTCCACTGAAAATCGAACTTTACTTCCGATTATGTGAATACGGCTGAATAAATATTATAAATTAAAATTAATTATTTCGTTCTTCTTTTATTTTTTTGCAGATAAATAAAATAAACTGAAACCCCAACTAGCGATCCCTTGATTCTAACAACGACAATGGCTTTGGGACCAATTGCACAGTGCACAAGGCACAATAAACGGTATACTTCAACCAAATTCTACTCCACATTTTCCGATATGGCATTAACAATTGCCGGTAAGTGTTAAGTTATCCTAATATAAATAAATATTTTATACCTCAATTTTTTTCGAGTACTTTAATTGACATATACAAATAAGTTACGCATTGCCCCATAACGTAAGCACAGCAAATATTTCTCCCTTTTGTCCTAATTCTTAAAATTTTCAATATAATTATTTGTACACAACAATGAAAAGTAGAAGTCAAAAAACGATTTTCTTAAGAAGAAAATATTTCTGCAAAGGGGAGAAAACTGCATTCAAAGTTTTACAATCTCCCTACTGAAACATCTAAATGTGACGTTGCAAAACTTCGTGGGTGCGTTGTACTTAAAATTAAGGCCGTTTCAATCAAGTCATTGACATAGAATTCTCTCCCTCTTTGAGGGAGGAGAGGTGTTTGCTTGCCAATAACGCCATGACTTAGATGCATTCGCAATTGTTTGTTAATTAATGTGGCAAAACACATTCAAGTCTGTGTGCTAAAAGATTTCTTTTTTCAGGCGTTTATTTCCGACTTTTTTTTGTTCTATGAAAAATGGACCAGCAAAAAAAATCCATCATCAGTCTGATGATGAATGTTGGTTGGTTGGGTCCACCGCCATGCAATGCATACAACAAATTTGCAAATTAAACATTTGCCCGGACTAACCGAAGAAATGCAAACAACAAATTGGGGTTTTTCGTTAATTTAGATGACGCCTCAATGGCAAACATTCACACAAAAATTTGTTGTTTGCACAAAATCTTTGAATTCATTTGGACGCCAGCAGCCAGTGGCCAATGGAATTCCACAATCATTCGATTCTGTGCGTTAAATGACCAACGAAAAGGTCAATAAATGATGCGACAGACAGCAGGGTCGGCTACCAGGCTAGACCAGAACCGCGAAGAGTGGTTGCCGTACTTCAACATAATTATCGTCAAACATTGTCGCAATAATTGGTAGGTTTTTTGTCGATAGGGGATTCTTGTTTGGCAAAGCAGCCAATTGCTGGTAAATATCAAACGTTTTAGCAATTTGATTTCCGAGACAGAAAGGAATGCATGATTAGCGAAGATATCGAAGATTTAAACCAGAAAGAAAATATATGTTCCTAATCAAAAAGTTTTATATTCAAAGAATTCGCCACATATCGCAGTGGATACAAACCTAAAACAGAGAAGGAATGTTATCCGTTCTACAATGATTTTTATCATAAGGAGAGAGAATATAAATATTAACACTAGCATGTTCGCGGAAGGGAAAAATTCAGGTGACGACCATCGACAATAAATTTTGTACTGGACGCTAGTTTTTTCGAGATGAGCTACATGATCGAAGTTGCAATGAAAAGAAAAATCATTATGCGACGCTTTTCGCCGTTGGTTAAGCGGCTCATCAGGCATATTGGACAATGTGGCTTACAAATGTCATTACTTGATAAGTTGTATTTATGTCGAATATTGTTGCGAAATTGCATCTACGAATTAAATTCAATCGTGTCAAGGTTTGGACATTGGCATCACAACATACAGACTACAATATTTTTCTTCAGTGGTATACAACTGCATATTGTGCAACCTTATGAAGATAAGGAGGTGACTTTGAACGCTAAGGCGCCGAACAACAATCAACAGATGCTATGGGAACTAGGGTTCAAATCCCAGCCGGGCTCAAGCTGAATTTTTGAGTTATATGCCTTTTTAGGGTAAAGGATCATTCATGTAAATGCTTTTATTAATTTCTCTTTCGAGATGAGCTACATGATCGAGATTGCAATAAAATTTTAATGTTCATTAAAATTAATTTAAAATCGGAGGTTTAAACCTAACTGTCAGAAGGTCTCCTAGTTATAATAAAAGAATCATGTGTAGTGCCAGTGTTGACAACCAACTCCTAACGTCAACAGTCTATATTAATAAATATTATTCGGATGAAAATTTAATATGAGATAGACACCAGCAGGATATATCGTGGAAGTTATCTGTAGATGGATGTAGAGCCAAGTGGGGTTGAAAAACGAGTCGTTAGCTGTGGACGTAGTCAGTTGAAGTTTCCTGTCTAGTCGAGTGGATTTGAAAAACGAGGCCTCGGCTGAAGCAGAAAGTAGTTGTTGTTGTTGTAACAGTCCTATTGCTTTTACACAACAGGCTGAGATGACAGACGTTGGCCATGTAAGTCTCGGGCCGTTTCGGATCGTAAACCCCTCTGTCGTGGAAACGTCAGAAAGTAGTTGTTCATCTGGCTGTCGCCAACCTCCGGATGACGTTACCTTTCATGGAGCTTCTGTTGTGACCGTTCATCGGTATGCCGCTTTGTCAAACTGCCTTCACGGTTCTTCCAACTGGCTCCAACCTACGAACTATTCACCTCCATCGTGGTTAATCTAACTCCAACCTACGTGCAATAAACGTCGGCCGAGTAGTTATAACAGAAAAACCTCTGCCAACAATCCTAATATATATTTTATACTCAGACGCCGTCAAAACTCCATCTAACACTAAATATCAAAACCTAGTCCGTGGTCTACCCCTCCTCAGATTCACATTGTGTGATTAAGAACAATTAAGGGTAGTGTTTTATAGTTTACTAATAGAACATAAAATCTTCAGTCTACATAAGCGTATGTTAAATATGGCTTGGATGTCTCCTGTTAATCATCTTGGGATCATAGGGCTTTCACAAAGCTTCGCTATTTTACTCTATTAGTAATTTTTCTAGTTTTCTAGTCATTTTTTAGTTTGAGCTAAGAAGATAATTGGTCTACTGTAACCTATCTTATGTGATGAAGATGCCATCTATCGTTGCCTAGACACAATATCCTCCATGAATTTTGTGTAGCAGTTGGGCTCCTTGCTTATTTAGTGTCGTCATCATATTCTTCACCACACTGTGGTACAGGGTACTATGTCTTTGTGCATATGTTTGTAACAGGCAAAAGGAAACGATATAGACACATGGCTCCTTTTGAGAATATGCATAGAATCACTTTGTGCGTCGATTTTTGCATGTCCATAGGTCTGTCTGTCTATGTTAAATTGTAAACAAAGTACAGGTCGCATTTATGATCCGAATTGGATGAAATTGTGCACAGCTCATATATTTGTTCCAAGGACGAACTCTTTTAAAATTGGTGCAAATCGGTTCAGATTTAGATATAGCTCCCATATATATTTTCGCCCGATTTAATGTAAATGGTTTTCCAAAGTCTCTATATATCTTTCGATTTGCACGAAATTTGGCAGGGGGTACTGAAATAAGTCTACAATGATATGTGTTAAGTTTCGCGAAAATCGGTTCAGATTTAGATATAGCTCTCACATATATATTTTCCTTCGATTTGATGTAAATAGTGTTCTAAAACCCCTATATTTATTCGACTTGCACGAAATTTGGCATAGAGTCCTCAATTAAGCCTAGAAGATGTGTGTAAGTTTCGTAAAAATCTGATCAGATTTGGATATAGCTCCCATATAAATTTTAGCACGGCGTACTGAATTGAGTTAAGAATGATGTAAGCTATATTTCCTAAAAATCAGTTCAGATTTATATTGCTCGCATATATATATTTTTTCCGATTTAATGTAAATGGTGCATAAAAGTCCCTATATTTCTTTCGATTTGCACGAAATTTTGCAGAGGGTACTAAATTGAGTCCAGAATATTGTGCGCCAAGTTTCGTGAAAATCGATTCAAATTTAAATATAGCTCCCATATATATTATCGTCCGATTTTGGTGCACCAAACATGAATTGTTTGTCCGATTGACATGAAATTTTGTATAACGTATCAAATTGAGACTAGAATGAAGTTATTGTGTTTTGTTCAAATATAGCGTGTATCAAGTTTGCTTTGAATCGATTAATATAAATTTGTTTGTAAATCTACCTGAATGAAATGAAATTTTGCATAGCTTCCAGAAAGGCTATGCTTATAGAAAAAGATCACATATTTAAGTTCGTTCAATTTCATGTCTATGTTGTTTCGAATCGGCGTCTGTTAGAATCCATATATAATGTGGTGGTGAATGGTATCATAAAAATACTGTATGCTGGGGGGCACCTTTATATGAGGGCAACCCTGTTATACAAAAAGAACCCATAGTACCAATTACATCCAGTTCGCTAAAAAACGTGTCTAAAATTCCCAAAATACCAAATATTGCGGTGTACCGTTATATGGGGGCTACATCAAATCGTGGATCGATATATCCCATTTACTAAATACTAAACATTCTAAGAGTACTAACATTATCTGTGCAAAATTTCACATCTCTATCTTAAATATTGCTATCTCTTCTGTGATTTCAATAGAGGGAAAGACATATAATTTTGTTCTGATCAAGAATATATATATATACTTTGTGTGGTCTCCGGTGAATATTTAGAGGCATTGTAAACGGAAAAGAAAAATTCAAACTTCAGTTCAACAGTGGCTATTAGTTTTCTATAGAAAAAATCAAACCTCAGGTTTTCTGAGGAAGTTTTAGTTTTTTTTAATGCCAAACTTCATTTAGTTTCCCCTAACCAAAAAATTGAAAGTGTTTTCAATTTACTATTCTGTTAAAATGCTTATGTGTCTATGTGTCTGTGTGAAACTTCAATTTCCCTTTTTCACTAAATTTTTAAAAAACTCTCCAAAAAAGGCATGATGAACAGTCCGCAGAACATGGTATGTATTAACAAATGTTGTGCCCTTTTAAGGCATGACATGACAATGTAAAGCCCGTGGCAATTGTTAGTACTTTACGTAAAAGGCATGGTCAAGGGCTAATGAGAGTAGTTCCCTGCTCCCCTCTCCCGGCAACCTGCCTTCGTTAACCATTTAACCAGACATTGCCACGTTTCCATAAAAACAATCCCAGAAGACGTGGACAAATTAAGCAAACTCGAGGTTCAGTAGCAGCAACAACAACTGGAACTGGATGACGAGGACGTAGACAACTGTGGCACCAAAACAAAACTTCAGCTGTGATTGTTGCAACAGCAGTTCCAAAGTTAAAAGCTTTGTAAAACAACAACTACAACAAAAAA